TGGCATCATGCACATTATAGTTCCACATATCACAAATGTGGGATTTCTGTGACAGAACCGCTTGTGCCACTGCTGTGTCCTGCAAGGCTTGTTTGCTGAGAAGAGGAGCAGTGTTCACTGAGATGACTGATTTGCCTTAGGCTTGGTTGCATTTCTTCATTTGTTAGGGAATGAAATGGATAGTTATGAGGTAGGATTTAGAAATAGGAGCTGAAAAATAATTTTTTTTTTATGATCGCTGCATATCATGCTGTGCTACTACAGTGCTCAGAAATTGCTCTGATCTATTGGCCTCATTTCATAGCAGCCTACATTGCTGCCTGCAGTCAGCACAGGCTACAGCAACCACTTCTTCCTTATCCTGAAACAGTGGCCATCTGTACCACCACTGTTATCCTCCACATTGGTCTGGCGCGTTTACTTGTCTCCTTCTGCCTGCAGAGAAGACTTTTCCCTCTGACAAAAAATCACAAAAAGTAACCATTTAATTTAGTTAAACTCAAGGCTGTGAGGAAATAAAACACTGAGCCTAACTCAGCCCAAGGAATGGAGTGTTCATAGGGATGACAAATCCAAACTCTTCTCAGAGATGCAGAATGAAAGGGTGAGAAGCCACAGTCACAGGCTGCAACAACAGAAATACCAAACTTGACAGAAGAACAACGTTTTTCAAGGGGAGTAGTTATGAACTGGAAGGGGATTGCCAAACTTGTAATGGAGCATTGTCTTGGGCAAAGACCTGCTCTGCTTTGAGCAGAAGCTAGGGCCAGAGATCTCTGCAGGGATGTCCTTTCTCATCTGAACTGCTCTGCAATTATCTGGTTCTACTTTTTTACTCCTAGGACTTAATACCCAGCAATAACCTGTACAACAGAGACCTGCCAGGCCTGGAAAATTAATCATTTATTGTTTATCTGCATTGTATTCTGCCAAATCTCCCATGCTAGAATTGAGACAGGTGCCTGCAGGGTAGAATTACTTCTATTTTATCTAGCAAAGTTATTGTTTATGGCATTACAGCTAAGACAGAGATGGAGTGGGATAAAGAACATGCCTTCTGATCTCGGGGCCTCCAGGGCTGTATTTATTACTGCATTTGTGGCTATATCTATAGCAGTAAATTAAACAGAGCCAGGATATGCAATTGACTGTATTGTTTGGTTATTAACACAGTCCCCTGTGGGGCATTGGCCTGATCTGGCTGTACACAGTTTGGGACATACCTTAGAGCATAGCACAGGCTGGAGGAAAGAGCCAAAGCTTCTTCAAGAGGTACGATTTATTCTGGTCTGGGATAGGTGACTGTGCTGTGATCTACACAAGGCTTGGGTTTGAGGTATTTTTTTGGGAAACCATATGTCAAAGAGCTGGCACACATCTTGAACTCCTGAAGAGGAGTGAAGTCTGGTTCCCCTGGAACACAGCTTCTCACAGGCTGTGTCTGACTTAAGCTAAGGTCTGCTTAAAGAACAGGAATTAAGAACCTGAAGAGGGAGGGTTATGCATTGGCAGCCCTGTGCCTCCTATGGGGTGGTAAAGGCCACTATGTAGTTCTGGTGCATATTGCTGAAATCCCCACTGTGGGTACAGAGCTTCACCCCAGCCTTTGAAGGCCTGAGACATAAATCTAGCTCTTTAGTCCATCCCTCATATTGACATATTAATGCTGATAGATCCCAAAACATCAAGGTATAAATACATGGTTTGGCTTAGGGTCATGGTTCCAGGTTACAAAAGGGGAAACATGAAATATTAAAATGAGAGATGAAAGCAAGATGAATGTGTTCTGGTTAATGATAAGCTAAATTTATTTCTGGAATCATCCATGTTAAATTTTGAGGACACAGAGGTATTGCTGGGCTGGATTCAAAGCTAGAATTAGGGCTGAGGGTTAGAGGTAGAGATGTGCAGTCTTAGAAAAACAGAATCATTAAGATTGAAAAAGAACTTTAAGATCATCTAGTCCAGCCATTCAACTACGACCAATAATGCCCGTTAACCATGCCCCCAAGTACCACATCTCCACGTTTCTTAAACTCCTCCAGGGATGGTGACTCCACCACCTCCCTGAGCAGCCTATTCCAATGCATCACTGTTCTTTCTGAGAATTTTTTTTTCCTAATATCCAACCTGAACCTCTCCTGGCACAACTTAAAGCTATTTCCTCTTGTTCTGTTACTGTTACCTGGGAGAAGATATTGATCCCCACCTCGTCACTACCTCCTTTCAGGCAGTTGTAGAGAGCAATGATGTCTCCCCTGAGCCTCCTCCAGACTAAACAATTCCAGTTCCCTCAGCCACCCCCCATCAGACCTGTGCTCCAGACCCTTTGCAGATTTGCTGCCATTTTCTAGACATATTACAGGCAATTGAGTCTTTCTTGTAGTGAGGGGCCCAAAACTGTACATAGCGCTCAAGCTGCAGCCTCACCAATGTTGAGCACAGAGGGATGATCACCTCTCATGTTAATGTTTACAAAATCTTGGCAGATCAATGCGGTTAGAATGAAGCCTGATTCTCACAAGAATAACTGAATTATAGTTTAGTAACAATTAATTATTGTTAAGCCTACAGTTACTGCTAAGCTTGAAGATTATGAGGGCAAATAATTTTTTACTAGCTGTTGGATGCTGTAAAATCCCAAGGAAGGATAAGGTGGGTGTGAGTGAAGGAATGGTGGTACCTCTCCCTGGACTGGGTGAAGATTTGGGTACAGCAGACTAGAGAAGTTAAAACACTAATGGATTTGCCAAGATCTGCCACTGCAGGATAATTGTACATAAAAGCAAAAATAAAAAAAAATAAGCAAAGTGGAGAGTTGGCAGGCAGGCCTCAGAATAAAAGCATCCAGGAGAGCATGGCAGGGGCTACAAAGCACAGATCAGTCCAGCTGCTCACTGTGTCCAGTGCTGGCTTCTTGCTTAGCTCTGTCTGCTGCCAGAATGTAAAATCCAACCAACGTCCTTTCCTAGCTGAAATTTCCAGTTCGAAAAGAACTGGTAAGCTTTTGAAAAGGGGCCAGATTTGAAGGGACTGACCTTTTTACTCTAAGTATTGGGCAGTATATTCACGTTTCATGGAAGTGTCCATATACAACCTTGATTAAAGGATGAAATGGAAGTCTTCATACGGTACCCACTATAATTTTCCTGACCACAGAGGGCAATGTTTAATATTCGTGCTTTGGATGTATTAAAAGATAAAATATAAATCAAATAGCGTGACTAGAAGCTGGTTTCTTTCAGAAGAAAGTAAAAGTTAAAACTTTTATGCATCTGCACATCAAAGTGTTATTACTAGCTAAGGTTTCTTTTTATAATTTAAGCCCATATCTGAATTGAATTTCAATGGGATGGTTGTGCAGTGTATTCCAATCTCCATATCAGTCAAATTTGATGAACACCCCAAAGCTTAGTGGCTAAGAAAGAGAGAAGAAAAAGGCTGCCTAGGAACATCAAATGGGAGTGCAGGCCTGATATCTTTTGTCAGTAGAAAGATTGTTTTAATACCCTGTCGGTCACAGTAATAACCTTAAACAAATAGATCACTTGTATTTACTTTGTAATATCAATGCTTTTACAAGATTGACTACCTAGTGGGATTGTCTGTACAAATTTCACAGTTGTCCCCAGGCAGCTCTGTGAAGAGGACACTTTAACTCCATATGCCACAGAAAGATGCCTTCAGTGATGCTCTATGAATTAATCATATCCCCAGGGGCTGTGGGAGGATAATCGGAGAAAAACCCTGCTGGAATAGCTGGGAGAGCTCCAACGAGCTGTCTCAGCACCTGGCCACTCTGCAGTGGGAGCAGTCGTGTTGCATGGGCTGTTCCAAGCAACTGGCCCTCACTGAGCTGCTGGGCCAGGAGATGGCTGTGAGCTGAGACCAAGTGGTTCACATTTCACATCTGTGTGGGCTCCTTGCCTCCTGCATCCATAGGGGTTAGAAGAGAGAGGAGGCAGCACACAGTTATCTAGCAGATTACTCTTCTCATCATAGCACTTGTGTTACAGAGGTACTCTAAGGACAAGCTGTTCATGCTCTTCTTCACTGTTAAAATTGCTAAGTAGTAAGCTGAAAGTTTTGATGAGCAAATGATGTTTGTCTTTCTTGGTCATCCATTGCTGCTTCTCAACCTCTAGGATCATACCCTCCAGCCCAGGGCCCAGCCATTCCCAGAAAACACAGTGCTTGTCCAGGCTGTGCATCCCAGGTTAACTGCTTGCAACAAAAAGGAAAAATGATTGCTGAGAGCACCTCCGTTTTCTATTCTTGCTATTTACAGCAGGCTGTGTTAGATCTGGTTCAATATTCTTTCATCTTTTCTGGGCAACAGAAATTTTCTTTTCAGATGAAAATAAATAAAAGCCTTTCAGAGTAAAGATGTTTGCATGGGGGGTGTGCTAGCCTACAGGAGTGTGAAGTAGGTTTACATTCAGAGAACAATATATACAGCAGGATTATTTACCATCCCTCCATCCATGTGAAACCTTTCCCTTTTAGTTTCTATTTGTGTGAGGTACCAGTTCATTACTCTCAGACACTTAAAGTGCATCTAGTATAAGTAATACATCAGCTATTTTTCTAAATGTTTTTTCATTTGGTTCGTTTCTACTGCATTTTAAGCCGGTTTTTCCCTGTCAGGACAGATCTTGCCTGGGTATGATTGCAGCTCTGGTTTTGTATTTCTTGCACCTTGTTCTGAGTTGGCAAGATCTGATTCACCTCTCCTACCCTGCCCAGGAGACTGTTGGAGGAACACCTGATTTACAGCTACAGAGCAGGTAGGAAATCAGACCACCAGTTAAAGCTTTAGATATGTCAGGCATGAATCGTCTGACCATGCAGACACATGAATGCCTAGAAATGTAAAGCAGATGTGCACCCTAAGCACTCCTCCTCCTCCTAGATGACATACGTAAATGAAGTCTTGGTGTTACTAGCTTGGACAGCACCCACTGCTCTGGGTTGATGAATGTGTTTCCCATCTTACCTTTCTTACTCTTGCTATTCATCAAAATACAGGGTGCTGTTGCCTTTTAAAGACCTCAAAGCTGAGGTCAACACATCCAGGATGTGCCACTGTCACCTCAGAGAGAAGTTCACCAGATGCTGCTGGCCGCCCATTCAGCCGGTAGCTCCAGCCAACACATCCTGGAAGGCATCCTTTCATCTCCACATCAGGACAACGCAGATAAGAAGGAGCTAGACCCAGAGGAATGAGCTGCATGTCACACTTCATTTCACACAGTCCCCAAGCAGGCAGCCCACCTCCTGGCACAGCTGGAGACAGGGCTGGATCGACACAGGCCTCAGGTCCTGTCAGGTGCTGAGGGAATCCATATTGGAGGCGTTCTGCACTGCAGGATTCCATCCTCTGTGTGACCACACAGGAGGTCGTGGGCCTTGCTGGGTCTGACCTTGTACCCTCACGGCTTCTATGGCATCTCTGCCTCCTTTCCTTGTGGCACAGCACAGTGCTTTTGTATTTCTGCGGAACACGAGTGGGCTTTGGACTGGGCAGGTACACACAATCAATTTTACTTCTACTGTGAGTAAAAACCTCAAGCTGTTTAGTCAACACATCTCCTCCAGAGAAATTCCTCATTGCCTGGCTGTTCTGTTTTGAGGCCTTGTAGCCATGAAATCTGCTGGGAGAACACAGACAGCCGTGATTACCTGACAGCTCCAGGAAATGGCACACAGACAGTGTTTGTCTTGGAGATAAAAGTGCTGATTGCAGGTGGAAGCTGCGGGCGGATTTTTGGAGCGGCTGCCAGGCCTCTGGGCTCCCGGAGCACCAAAGGCAGCACGCCCTGCCTGCCCGCCTCCCCCAGCTGGGGCAGCGTGCGGCTGCTCTTCCCCACAACTCCCAGAATAACTGGTCGTGTTAAGCTAAGCAGGGCTGTGGGTGTCTGCAAGCCTGATACCGTTGCTTTTGTCTGATGTAAGTGTGAATGCCATTATTTCTGTGTAATGTAACTGTTCTGTTACACAGATCCTCTTAGTAACACTGAGAGCCCTTGGTACAGCATGCACTGTGCACGCCCTTGTGAGCAGCGGGTCCTGAGCCAGAGACTTGGTCTGAATCATCTGCGGGGAGTCACTGAGAGGTGTGCTTGGGAATCTCTTTTTGGGGATACCAAACAGTTTGCACCACACTGAGAAGAATATCTGTCATACAAAGAGTCAGATTTCCAAGAGCTAAGCCACAGATTCCCCACAAACGTAGCCAGAGCATGCTGCATTTGTATTTGGCTTCCAGCAGAGCTTACAGGGACAGCAGTGGGCACTGTTAGGTGCCACTTTCCTTAGGGAAGGTTTGGAACACAGCTGATTCTTCTTTCTTCCTCACTCCTACCTATCTTCTGCCCATGAATGCTTTACCCTGTCTTAAAGGGCTTCTCAAGTACCAAACCAGGACAGGATGTCAAGTCAGGGTTTCTCAGCTGTAGACCACAAATCTTCACTTCTGTTCACTCTCCTTTGCAAAAGGGAGGCCCTGTAGTTTCTTACATGTTAGTCCTCCCCTTCTGATTCTTTTTTTCTGCCACAGCCTTTTACCCATTATAGGCCTTGAACCATTTGCTATGGGAGTACAAAGTGCCCTATGCACTTTTCTTTCTCTCTCCTCTTTCTTTTCTTCTTCTTTTCTCCTCTAAAAATCTTTCAGTGTTAGAGATCATCAGATCCTGCCAATGCATCTTTCTTCCTGTGACTATACCCCAGCGCTATCTGTGCTGCAGTGAAAGAGAGGATGCAGACGTGCAGGATATAAGCTAATATAAGATCTCACTTCTGTGATGTAAAGTGGAATAGCTGTAAATATCTGGTGGTTATACTTTTGTTGGTTTTCCTTTTACAAAATGCCTCATTTGAACTGCAGTGTGACCCAGACAGAAAGCCAAGGGCAGAAGCATGTGTCCATCATGCAGAGCCTGGTCAAGGTTAAGGCATTCCTGGCTCACAGGTTCTCCTTGCACTTTTGTCTACTGCAGATCAGTGCTGGGCCAGCATCTTGCTTTTCTACCAATTGCACAATCACATAGTGGCTGTAGAGATGTAAAAATAAGGGCAGCACAAAGCAAGCCACCTGGACTACCCATGGTCAACTGTACGCCACTAGGGAGCAACCCTCTGTTGTGCTTATTCTGTGGCCAATTCGTTCCATTTGTGCCTAAATTTCCTGATAGCAGAGCACCAACTACTGAGGTTGGACCATTAAGTAGCCCAAAGTATTATTGTAAATGATCAAAGAAAAATAAAAAGTTATCTGGACTCATTTGGATTTGAGACCTTGTCTGGGTAGCACTTTGCTTTAGACTCAGCTGTCCTGGAAAATTTCCTTGCAAGATTTTGAACAGGAAAGTCAGAGATATTACAAAACGGATTGCATGCTTGATATTTCTACTACTCCTGGGCAAAAATCCCGGGAGAATTGTTATTCTTGTGAGTTTTCATCTGCATCAGAACAAGAAAGAAATACGTTCTTGAAGCTTTAAATCTCTCAGTCAGATTCACAACAGAGTGGTACATCTGGAAATTCAATTCTGACACTTCCTGAAGACTGAAGAATGAAGTGGGCTGAACTGTGTATTTTTCTGCCCCTTGCCACATCCACAAAATCACCCACTGACGCCCACTGTGAAGGCAGCGCTCAGCTCTGTGGGTGGCATGTGGGGGTGGCTCAGCTTGGGGGCAGTGAGAAGAGCATGACTGTACGTCCTGAATGGTCTCTAGTGGTGCCATGTGAGATGACTGGTCCTTTGCAGCCCCATCCCACATCCAGTACAGCTCTTTGTGGATGGATATCACTTCTGTATATGCTGCAGCCTCCCATCAAAGACTGAGCTTAGATGGCCAAGGCAGTCACAGGCTGAAATTTTGGGATCAAAATCAAGAGGAGGATCTGCATAACCTCCATCATGACAACAGCCAGAAATGAAGTACGCACCTCTAAGAGCCACAGGGGTAGGGATTTAGACATGGCCCCAGTCCCCAGCCCCAGGCTAGGAGATGCTCTCCTCTCTCTTTCTGCCAAGATGAATGGACCATGGTTGAAAGGGTTTTTTGCAACCAGATTAGATAACAGGAATTTCAGACTACTGAAACGTTAAGAAAACAGGCAGAGTTTGCATTTGGTTTTCATAAGGAAGTCAGCTATGACCTGATGTATGCAAATGTCTTCTGATGCAGAGAAAAAGATTTCAGGACTGCGGAGGTGTAAGAGTTGGCAAATTGCATAGCATTATGGAATAATACTCCATTTTAGTGCAAATTAGGAACCACAGCTGTTACAGCATGTCAGCATTTGGGGAGGTTAATTCTCAGAGCAGAGGAATAGAAAGCATCACTGTCACGTACTCAGAACAGAAAGGAAGAGAACACAGCAATAAACAGGTGGAAAAGCCTCACATTGTTATCCATAGAAGGATAAAACCACTAAATCCTTATTTAATCTTTGTTGAGTTATTTAAAATATTAAAAATAGTGGATCTCATAGGGGATTTAGAATAGCTATAGAGAGCGAGTTAAATTATGAAGTGAGCATGTGAGGTTTGGGACATACTTGCAGGAATAAGGCAATTATTTCTTTTTTACAATTCTTTTTTATTTTTTCTTTCAAAATACACACAGCAGTGTTTGTGCTCTTAAAATCCAGAGGGTTACTCCAGCCTCACCCCTGTACTCCACCAGACACTTACTGACCCCTGCCACCTCCTGCAGAGGACTTGGGCATCTCACAGGTTCTCCCTCAGCCTTAATCTCCTTTCCTCCCAAGGTGTAAGCAATGATCTGATTTTCTGTCCTCCTAAAGCTGACACTTGTCTCCCCAGCTTCTTGATCTTACTTTCTCATTTTCTGTTCTCTGCATTCAGTGAAGAAGTTTTGTCTTCTCTGTATGCACTCTTTGTCCCTCTATTTCTTCCTCTGCCTTCTCTGTCTGCTCTTCTGGAATTGGGAAGAGTGTTTGTCTGGTTCTATTTCAGCATGTTCATACTGACAAATTGCAGGTTTGTCATAGAATCACAGAATGGTTTGGGTGGGAAGAGACCCTAAAGCCCACCCATTCCCACCCCTGCCGTGGGCTGGCTGCCCCCCACCAGCTCAGGCTGCCCAGGGCCCCATCCAACCCGGCCCTGAGCGCCTGAGCAGAGATGGGGCACCACAGCTCTATGGGCAGCTGTGCCAGGGCCTCACTGCTCTCTGAGAAAAGAGTTTCATTCTAACATCTAACCTAAATCTCTCATCTTTTAACTTATAGCCACTACCCCTTGTCCTATTGCTACACTCCTGGATATAGAGTCTCTCCCCAGCTTTCCTATAGTCTCATTTTAAGCACTGGGAGGCCATAATGAGGTCTCTCAGGAGTCTCCTCCAAGCTGAATAAGCCCAGCTCCCTCAGCCTTTCTTTGTATGAGGGGTGCTCCAGCCCCCCAGTAATATTTGTGGCCTTTCTCTGCGCCCACTTCAACATCTCAGCATCTTGTGCTGGGTGCGCAGGCCTGGAAGCAGTACTGCAGGTGGGGGCCTCACAAGGGCAGAGCAGAGGGGCAGAATCACCTCCCTCTCCCTGCCAACCACCCCTCTTTTGATGCAGCCCAGGGTATAGTTGGCCTTCTGGGCTGCAAGCGCACACTGCTGGCTCGTGTTCAGGTTTTCATCCACTGTGTCTCAGTAGCAGTCATATTAAAGTGGAGCGTGGGCAACCAGCTCTAGGTGGCCATGCTCAGGCAGGGATGCTGGACATCAAGGCACCTTAACAAAACATGATTGTAACTGAAACATTTGTCTTGGGCACCAAGGTGGAGTCAGGTTTCCTGCATAAACATCTAGCACCATGAGAGGTGCTTGGTGCGTCTGCTAGTCCAGGAGCATGGGGCCTTCCACTGGCCCTGGACCATCTGACTCCAAGTGCACTTTGCTTAGGGAATTCTCTTATATATATATCCACAGCTGGGAATTAGTGAGACCAACACCCAGGACAGGCAATGGATGGCGGGATATAGATGCCCATGTTAAGAAAAGACAATTTGAGATACTCTATGTCTAACTGAGATGACTTCACCAGGCAAGAACACAAAACAGGGTGAAGATGACCTTCTGGTACTGCCTTTGAAGCACTTTCAAGCATCACAAACATCATTAGGTGCCTATTTCAGTTTAGGCAACTGGATACAGTACACTGAGCCCTTGTCCTCCCAGCTATTGAGGGTATCTAAACATAGATGTCTGCATCGATCTGGATGTCCCAGGACACTTGAAACAGCTGCAAGGGCTGGTGGATGTGGTAGCAAATCAGTAAGCTCACTGCTGCTATGCCAGCAAGGTTCCTATAATATCTGAAATGGTACTTGATGTCTGTGTTTGTGCAGCTGAATCACTCTGGATGTGACCTTGTTAGTGAACTGAATCACTCTCTATGCTCTGCTGACTCTATTGACTGGGCCCCCCTGGACTGTAAGACAAACTTATACATGCAGCTTAAGAGGTGGCACCTTGATTTAGCCTGGAGCTGAATCCTGTCCTTAGAGTTGACGGTCTGAATGTAGCCCTGTGATTTTCTGCAGAGCATTTGGCACACTTCAGAAGTTTAAAATCTTAACAATAATGGCAGAATAATATTGCAAGTGTAATAATGTCATTATTTTTATTCTAATTTGCTAATAATGAAGTCGTATTGTTTAAACTATTTCTATGCCCCTGTAGTAAACACAAGATGAGGTTAATTTGCTCTCCAGAGCTTATCTGTAATTACATTATATTTATTTAAATAGCAGTTACATTCTATATGTATATAAAAATGACATATTGCCCCCACTAAGAAATAAAAACTATCCACCAGTAGAGGTACAAACTAGAAGACATAGGCTGCAACCCCTCTGGAACAGTGAAGGCTCAGAGTCTCATTTGGAACAAAACCAATTTATTTTCTCTCTTTTTTATAGTGCCTTCAGCTGTGCAGAGGAATAAGCCACGCTACCGAGCCTGGCTGTCTCAGCCTCCATGATCTCAGCCGCCCAGCGCTTTGCTGGCTTTGCCTGTGCTAAGAGTTGGCCAACAGCACACCTTGGCTGGGATTTCCAGGCAGAGCCGCCTCTGAAAGCGGAGCAGGGTGGAGAGCCTGGCTCCATCCATCCTTGCCATCAGTCCAACAAGAGTCGCTCCTGTGGCAGAACAAACAGAAATATTGTTTCTCCAATTTAGGCTATGCCAGCTCTTATTTTTCATGTTCTATCTGTGCTATAACTTAGTTGATGCAGCAGGTGCTTTTTAAACAAAGGGAGATATATTGCTTTCCTGTTTATTTCGTGTTTGATAACTTCTAGGTTGATACATTCTGCCTATGCCATCCTTAATAGAAACAGGATTCAAGAGGGCTGTTGTAATATCATAGGAGCCAGTGTTAAAGAAGGGCTGGTACTTTGGGAAGCCTTAACCCTCTGCTCACCAGGCAAGGCTGATTCTTACATATGTGGTCACTCAAGAGTTCCCAGTTCCCACTTTAAACCAAAGCAAACGGCAGGAAATTAAGATCTTCCTTCAAAATCTGAGGGGGAGGGGTGGTAATTTATTTGTTTTTAAGTAGCCCTTTAAAAAGGTGAATAATTTGCATCTGGTTGAATTACAGCCAGAGCAATTACTGATTTTGTTACTTGTAGTTTTATTCGTGGTTATGGACTGAGTTACTTTCATGCAGCTACAGAATGACAGGGTTTATTGCTATACAGGAAACCATTTTGACCTGCAACATGAGAGCAGGAGGAGGACAAAGTCACATTTACCTGTTTCAAAGAACAAAACTTAGCAAAAGTAAAGGGCAGCCTCAGGCAGTGGCTGGCAGTTCACAAGTGTATGTCCCCAAGTAGCTCTGAGTTTGCTAGCTCAGCTCAGCTGGAAAGCTCAAGCAACCCATATTCCTCATGGCTGGCCAAGCCAGTGTTTGAGCTTCCTGGCAAACTTTGATTGTTAGTGAGAATTTCAGGGTCTTGTTGCAGCACAGCTCTGTTTGCAGAGCTGATGGGGGTGGTGTTCAAGGTAGGAGGGAGCAGAGAATCGTTAACTGGTTGCAGAAAGAGTGCTTGCATTGGCAGAAAGATCAGATGCGGAAGAGCTCATATTGAGAGGTACTGAATATGAGCAGCAGTAGGAATTTCTTCTGGCTGGACTCAGATTTCTGCCAGTGGAGAGGATGAGACAAAAGTGGAGGGGGCTGAAGTGCCATGTGTGAAGCAAAGAATGATTTGGACATGAGAATTACAAAGCAAGAAAAAAATTGATGGGTAAAAATGGAAAGCAGAAAGGTAAAATTGTAGCTACAATTCCAAATGTTTCTCTCCATTTCTCAGTGGCCACAGGAGAATCCTGGTGCATCTCGCCCCAGTCAGCACCAAAGCATGCTTCGTCATACTTCTGAGTCTTTGTGTACTGCCAGTAGTTCCATCCCCACCAACACCTGCAATGCATCTCACTCGTCCTTCTGCCAGGTCTGTGTTTGTGCAGTGTGCAACAACCTCCAGAACATCAGGGTCTCCATTTCAGGCTCCAGCTGAAAGAAGAGCGCAGTGCTTGCCAGAAGGCCTGGCAACACTCTGTTTCAGAGACAGGCAGTGCAGAGTTGGCTGGCTGCTTTATTTTATTGCACCTGCTACCTTTCTCCAACTCTGATATGCTGCAAATTGTTTTCCAGCTCTCCCTCAGACTGGGGAGCAAGAAGGTGTTGTTTCCCTTCCCTCAAAACCACATTTTCATACTGAGTTTCAAGGGCTTTATTTTAAACTAAAGAGGAGCACCAGTACGGTTTTCATTAATAAAATATCACTGTGCATGGTATATAGCTTGCTACTGGCAAGGAGAAAAATGACTAAGCAGGAGCAATGCTTTTATTTATTGTAAGCTTATTCTAAAATTGACCTGGCAGTTCCCAGGGTTTCAGACTGTTCAAACAGATAATTTTCAGTTCTTGCATTTCACTTTGGAACTTCATGCACAGACTCTTCCACAATGTTTAGCATGTCAAAGGCTGTCTGACAGCTCAGGGACCTGCTTGTAAAACACGTGCACGTCGCAATATAACAAGATTCTGTTTCAGCAACAAGCTTAAATCTCACAGAAAAGTTCCACTACCCTAATTAATTAAAGACAACCCATGTGTTACCTCCAGCCTGCACTGGTGCATCATTAAGCAGCCTAATTAATACCAGGACATATTGAAACAAGAGAGGTATGTTGGATTTTCAGTTACTAAGGGAAACCTAAATGCTGTTAAATGCTCTGGCCTCCTTTTCTTGTAGAAAATGCGCTTTGTAACTTCCCCATATGCTCCTCCTGTTCTCTTCCTGATGGATGTTGCTATGGAAGCAAACGGGGAAAAACGGAACAGCTAATAATGTTTCTGCAAATGATTGCACAGGTGGAGCTGAGAAGTATAGATGACACAAGTTAGTTAGGCAGTGGATGGGAGATGCAGCAACTGTTTGAGGCCAGGCATCAAACCACTCACATTTCCCTTTTCTTCACCTTTATATTTATTTATTGAAACCCAGATCTCTGCAGGCTGCTGAGGTTTGGTTTGTCTTCTATTGAGTCAAATAATTTGAAAAGTTTCAGAGATGCCCTAAACCACTGAATAAAAAAGAAGTTTAGGTTGTGAAGGAGAGCAAGGCTGGCTGCTCTGCCCACGTGGGCAGGACAGTTTGGAGAACAGGGGTGCCTCGAGGCTTCGGAATAACAAACTTCTGTATCTCACTCAAGTTAGAAGAATGGTTCTGTGTGGGAACGATAGAAACAGGGGAGGGTGCATATACTGGGCACTGGAGAGAAAGCATGCATGCAATTAAATTTTCTTCTTCACAGAGCACTGGTTTTGGTGCGAACACACCCTACAAGTGTACATGGGTGAGGAGGTACACCACTTTGTCAATATAATGCATTGACCTAAGTACTGCAAGTGGAGACACAAAGAACCAAGGAGTGATGCAGCCTGTGGCAGGCAGCGTGGCTGGCAGCTTGTTTGCAGGGCACAGAACTGGAGCTATAAGCTATTGCTTGCTTGCTTGCTTTTCAATCCTGTTGGCTGCTCGCTTTCCCTGACTCCGTGACACTGAACTTCTTGCTGGCTTTTCTGAGTCTTAGGTAAACTCATACATATGGATCTGCTTCAGGCTGGTTCCTGCTGCTTAACCCTGTGACCAGGCATCCATTCCTCTCTGCTGACAGCTTACAGCCTGGGGCTTCTTCCTCAGAAACCAGTTACAAAGCGCAGCCAAATGGTCCATGGTGGTCAGATGGCTGCAGACCTCTTCATTCAGCACAAGATATGACCCAGGTCCCAAAAGGACAACTGAGCCCACCCAGCAACATGAGAGAGGGCAGAAGGTTCACAAAACCACATTTTTAAAGTTTTCCAGTTGCTTTGCTGAAGTCCTCCCTCCAAGCAGAGGTCTTTGCCGAGTGCCCTCACTGTGTGTAGCTATGCACTTCAGTTATGGCCAGGCAGGGACTTGAGCCTAGGGCTCTCAAACATTAAATCAGAAACCCACACCTGCATGATTTTAAGAAATTACCTCTTCCTACCAAATCCCTTTGTAAAACTTTTAAGGAAAATAATATATCCTACCAAAACTTTATGATGTTAACATTTTAACCAGTTGTAATCAGGATGACATCAGGAGGTGAGAGAATCACCTCATATACTCAGTCCCTAAGTAGGCAGGGGAAAAGTGCCTGAATATCTACTTCACGCTCCAAATGTTAACATATGCCCAGGGATGAAGCCCTAGCGAGGCTGTACCTCAAGTACTGCATTCAGTTTTTGAGCTCCTCACAACAAGAAAGTCACGGAGGCCCTGGAGTGTATCCAGAGAAGGGCAATGAAGCTGTGAAGGGTCTGGAGCACAGGTCTGATGGGGAGTGGCTGAGAGAACTGGGGTGGGTCAGTCTGGAGAAGAGGAGGCCCAGTGGAGATCATACTGCTCTCTACAGCAGCCTGAAAGGAGGTTTGGTAAGGTAGGGGCTGGCCTATTCTCTGATGTAACTGGAGATAGAATGAGAGGGAATATCTTGAAGTTGCACCAGGGGAGGTTCAGGTTGAATATTAGCAACAATTTCTTCTCAGAAAAAGTGGTGAGGCACTGGCACAGGCTGCCCAGGGAGGTGGTGGAGTCACTGCTCCTGGAGGTGTCCAAGAAACGTGTGAATGTTGCAGAGGGTTGTGGTTAGTGGGCAGTGTTGGTGGTAGATTGATGAATGGACTAGATGACCTTAAAGATCTTTTCCAACTTTAATGATCTTATGATGCTATAAGAAGAGGTATTAAAACTACCTGTACATATTAAGCACTACAACATAAGCACAGATGAAGATGCAAATGTGTGGTCTGTGACTCCAGTCACATATGTGTAGGCACAAAATGTGGGCAGCCATTTGGGGAGTGGGGCATGAATCACCAGAGTCAGGCAATACTACTTGTGTTAATTGTCAGACAAGAGACAAAACTTTAGGAAGAGCCCAGAAGCTGAGAAGCTCATGAAGTTGGTCTCCCATCACCATGCTCTTGCTATGTGAAGGAGCATGCCCAGAGCCATGTGTGAGCTTTTCTGTTGGTGTGTCTCTGTTTGTGTACACTGTATGTGTACACAGACATAAAGACACAGCTGCCTACTTCTGATGTTTCATTAAATACAAGCTTCCTGGTTCCTGGGGGCAACAGACCAGGCTGTCCTAGTTCTTGGCATGTTGGCAGCCCTGACCTCACTGCCGAAGAGACCTGCTCTGGGCTACTCCATCCTCTCGCTCTGTTCTCTGGGAGAAGAACTGCTTGCCCCTGTTTTCTCTCCCAAAGGAAAGGCTTTCCAACTGCTTCTGTTGATTATTTTATCTTTTTTTTCAGCCTTGAGAAGAGGGACAGCACACTGTGCGTAGCCACAGTCACTTGGTATTCAGGGGAGGTTCAGAGTTAGTGAGGCGCCTCTAGAGCAGCTGCAAAGGGCCTAATATAAATATGAAGAGCTGCCGAGATCCATGATTGCACCTGGCTGTCCTGCTGCTTTACAGCCAGTGCAAATTAATTCTTTCTGCATGCGAGTGACTAAGTCAAATCACTTAAACCAGTGGCCTCTTGCTGTCCTCTTAGGAAAATAAATGGATGATCCGTGCTGCAGGGACCTAATCCTGCGCCAGGGGAGTCACAGCTACTCTGCTGTTACCTTTAATGGGAGTTGGAGTGAGCCAGGGAAGGAATTTCAGTTGAAAATTCAGCTCCTGTATAACCCTTGATAAGGTCCAGTTACTGTCCTCTGGACCTGCATTCCTGATAGAGCTCCAGACCCAGGAGAGCAGAAAAACCAACTCCATATTTTTCTGTTGAGTTCATTGACTGCAGCTGGGATGGCAAGGGACAAAAAAGGACACCACCTCTTTGGGGAGGGACATCATTCAAAATGGGAAAAGCTACTTGAGAATCTGTCTGGTTTAGCAGAACTCTGCAGATTGCACCACAGTCAGGGAGACAGGACTGCTAACACCCTGGAAGGTTT